CAGCTCCTCCTCTGGTTTGTTCAGTTACTTGAGGCAACACATTCTACTTCATTAAGCCACTTTAAGTGGATAGTTTGGCTTATTGGTCACTAGAGGTGATGTCATACTGTATGGTAATTCACAATGTCACCCCGCCATCCACCACGGACCTCCTCCCTTATCAAGCCATACAGAATCCTTAGTAATGTTTATGATCAATTTTAATCGTAGAATAATATGTGATCAGTATAGATGTAAATTACTTAAATTCAGTGTTCCTAAGATTATGTGAATAATAACAGCAAAAATGTTTTGCATAATCTTTTACTTTGAATAACAACACAATTAGTAACTGAGTGGAAGCCTTTTTTTTTTCTCTCTCTCTCTCTCTCCCCCCCTTTAATTAAGAGCTACCAGCCATTTCATGGGGAAAAGATGGAGCTTTCTGTTCTCGTGAAGATTTACAGCCTTGGAAACTCACAAGGGCAGTTCTATTCTATCCTGTAGGGTCACTATACGTTATCATGGACCCAAGAGACGTGAGTTCTTTTTGTTTTGTTTTTTGGGTGTTGCTGCTAACTGCAAAATCAATGATTCAAATCCACCACCCACTCCACAGGAGAACGCTGAGGCCGTCTGCTCCTGTAAAGATTTAGTCTCAGAAACCCTACGGGGTCCCCTTTAGTTAGGACTTTATTCTCAAAATAAGTTACTGATATACATTATATTTAGAAATATTAATTACTATATATTGTAGTTAAAATATCAGAACATTTGACAAAATTTGTAGCTATAAAAACATCAGCTGTAATGAAAACAGGACCACATGCTTGTGTATGCAGATGAAATCATGTGGAGGAATGTGTAATAATGACAGCTCTGCCCAGAATCTATTGGAATGTTCAAGCAGTAAAGTAGCATACAGTATTAGCATGTAGGTAGATTGATACATGTAAGCTGGGCTTATGAAAAATGTTTTTGCTCTTATAACTAACTAAAGGAATATTTTTATAAAAAGAATAAATTCCTGAGTCACAAAAATTTTACGGTCATTTTAATGTCACCTCCTCTGATGGTGTCACCCAGTACTGTCTGCACCCCCTGTGCCTCCCTAACAATGTCAGTGTCAGTTCATAGATATTCAAATAAGAGATCTTTGAAAGATGGCTTCCTTCCATTAGAAGGCTTTCTAGTCCGAGGAGGGCTGTGCCAGGACCTGTCAGATGGAAAGGACTCTCTCAACTGGATGGGAAGGAAAGTGAAAGGAGGCGATTAGAGACCAGGAAGGAAGAGCAGCATGGAATCCAGTTGTCAAAGATTTTGAAAGCCCACAGGACAATTTTAGACTTGATATTTGTCAAATTATATTTTTCAAAAAAGACTCCAATGATATTTTTGTTATCATATTTCTGTTCTTCCAAGCCTTGACATTGTCGCATAATGAGGAGGAATCCATATCGTCTCCCCTTCGTCTTGGGCAAGCCTTTGGAACAGCCTGGACAAAGGCAATGTAATTGAAGTGACAACTGCATTTCTTCTATAGCTAGGTCATAAAATGCAAGACAGCTTGTACTGAACTCAATCTCTTTTAGCACATTTCCCTTGGAGCCATGCCACCAGGTTGTGAGGAAACCCAGGCAATATGGACAAGCCCGGTGCAGGTATTAAGTTTGACAGCCGCAGCCCAGGTCTAAGCGCCTAGCCAGGAACAACCATAGATATGTGCGTGAATAAGCCTTCTGCTGATTCCAGCACCCGTGTATCAAGTTACTCTCAGCTTCTGGGTCTTTGACCTGAGGCCCTAGACAATATGAAACAGAAATAAGTCATCCTTCCTATGCCTTCTCCAAATTTCTGCCCAAAGAACCCCTTAAATGACTGTTTCATGCTACTGTATTTTAGGGTAATACGTTACATAGCAATATATAACTGGAATATAACAATACATTTTTGTACCTGGAGGTGGGTGCTGTTGTAATCAAACCTAAAGCATGAGACAGCGAGTAGAAGGACCTTGAGGAGACTATTATCGGAAATTGTGAGGGCCCTCAAGCAGTAGGTTGATAAGGGCTTAATAGAAAATGAGGGGAATGTTATTGGAAACTGGGGGAAAGTAGACCCGTGTTTTGTAATTGTAGGAAGTTCGTCATCATTGTCACCTGAGGTAATGTAGAATGGAGGAATCGTAGCCAAATAACGAGTTACCGATCTAGCTAAGAAAATTTCAGACCGAATGTTAGTTATGCCCCAATGGCTTCCTTTCAATGCCTTAGTAAAATGTGAGAGGAGAAAGATAAGCGAAAGAAACATCTGTCAAAGATGAAAGAGCCAGGACTTGCTGGGTTCAAAAATAAAATTGCTTCTCATTCCCAGTCCCTCCAGATGGCAAACGATGCTAAAAATAAGAAGTAGCTTCCTGGAAGAGGTCAAATTGAGGGTGCTGTCAGGAAAATATAGTCTGAAGCAGAGGCCAAGGGTTGGCTGTAAATTCCTTGTTAAGATCTCAGAAATGTGTAAAGTGGTGCCTCACAGACCCATTCAAACAGTGAAAAGTTACTTGATGGATCTTAGTGGCATGCTTCACAAATGCTCTACAGTATGCGACAGGGCTTCCAAGAATCTTGGTTTTTTTTGGCTTCCAAGAATCTTAAGGGGCATTTTTACAGTAGCATACAAAGATCCTAATGTAAGGACACACTTTTCTCAACGACATAATGTGGGATATACACGGACTCAAAAGAAACCTACAGCAGATTCAATGGATTTTTATCAGCTTGTACTAAAAGAGGCAGAGACAGTACAAAAGGAAAAAGAGGCCTCTCTTCATGCAATTCAATGGGCAGGAATCAAACTGAGAAAACTATCCGCAAATAGTAGCTACTTTGGAGAAGATCAACACACATTTTGGTGCCTCAAATGTTAGACTTGTTTCTGGGTATCCTTGACCTGCTGATTTAAAAATAATAATAATGGTACCAATTTTCCCTTATCAGCTCTAGTTTTTGAAATACAGAACATACGTCATATGCCATTCTGCCTGCCCTAAAAAAAAGAAAAATCAAGATGATCTTAATGTAGTGTTAGCTAATCTATGTGAGAGGCTGTACATCCTGGCTTTCTTTAAAGTTAGCCTTCACATGGTGTCCTCTGATCCAAAGCTATTTGAACAACACAAACTACACGAACTTGGAATTTTCCCCAACTATCACTTCACCATTATGAGGAACTGAATAGCAGACAGTTCTAATTTGCTGTTTTTAAAAGGAACCAGAAATAAGAGTTAAGATACAATAAATAAGGAGCCCTGGTGGTGTGTGTGTTATGTGTCTGACTGCTAACTGCACGGTCATCTATGGGGGCCCGTCAGTCCTGTTGCCAGATGAGATACCTGCTCGCATAAACACGCACAGCCTCAGAAACCCACAGAAAACAAATCCACTATGTCCTACAGGGCTTTCTGAGTCATAATCGATTCACCGGTAGTGAATTTGGTACAATAAGTAGGAGATTCAAATGTTCTGAAAACCAAAATGAGTCCGTCAGTTCAAATTACTTTATTAACATTAAAATGTTCCAGTTTTGTTATAAGATGGTACAACTTAACCACCTGTGCACAGAAACTCTTGAAAGAGAAGTTAGAATTTTTCTTATAAAGAAGCTTAGAGTCAACCTTACCTCTGAAACACTTAACATGAATTATCCATTGACTTTTATATATTAAAATGTTTTCTGAAATATTTACTTCATAATTTGAAGAAGAAAATTTTAGAGGTTCACATTATTTATGAAAATTGCTATGAAGTCATATTTTTAACACTCTAAATTGCCCTCAGAGCCCCGGTGGGATAGTGGTTATGCATTGGACTGTGACCCGTATGGTCAGCAGTTCAAACCACCAGCAGCTCTGCAGGAGAGAGATTGTGCTCTCTATTCCCACAAAGAGTTACAGTCTTGGGCACCCACAGAGGGTTACCATGAGTCAGCATTGACTCATGGAAGTGAGTAAATTGCCTTCACACCTTTTATATATGTGTCTTTTCAATTTTCTTTTTTATTTTCCACTCTTCTCCAGCTGTGTTCTTTCTTACCAATATCCAACTTGCAATATAGATATATCCAACTTGCAGTCTCTAAATATAGTGCACAGTTTCCCATACCAAAATGAAAAACCTGCTGCATCTAATAAATTTGACTCACAGTGACCTTATAGGACAGAGGAAAACTGCTTTGGGGGTTTCCAAATCTTTAAGTCTTATAAATTCTGCAGAGTGACTGGTGGGTTTGACCCACTGACCTCAGTGTGTAACCCACTAGCCACCATGAGTTCATAGACAGCTTCCCGTGGAGTTCCTTTAATTTCTAATTCTTTTAAAAATATTTCTTATCTTTAGTCTTCTCCTATAGTTTGTGGGTTTGAAGTCTTCTCATATTTAAAACTAAGATGATAAAGTAATATAACTTAAAAGCAGAAAATATAGTGGAAAGACTATATCTCAGAAACTAGAGTTGATGTGGTCTAGCCAATGCAATTTTCTGAATCAGTGCCCCAAATGTCCCCAGAAACAGGCCTGAAAACCAAGACACCGAAAAATGCCTTTTGTCGTTGTTGTTGGACTGTGCAATTCACAGTTTAGGAACTTAGGAGACACAGTCAAGAATTGTAGAGAATCATTCCTAGGTCAACAGACTGTGGTAATTACATAATCTCATGTCAATTTGAGGGTATTAAGAGTGAAGGGCTGTTGCTTAGCCTGTTAATCAGGTCACAGCTTCATGATACCTCATTGTGGGCATGGCCTTCTCATGAGGATTCTGAGAACTTCCTCTCTCTCTCTCTGCCTGGTCTTCCTGTTGACAAGCATGCAGAGATTTGCTGAGACATTCAAGAGCACTCTCTTTCTGCTTCACCTTTCTTGTGCAGAGCCACACTAGGAGAGCCGGAGAAGCCACACGGAGACCTGTGCCAGTACTGAGATACTTCCACAGCCATTGGATCCGCAAGACTTTGCATCCACAGGCTTGTGATCTTCCTGCATTTTGCATCATCGCATGTGACTGCGTGAGTCTGAAGAAGGATTTTTGGACTAGTATGGGACTTATGGGCTAATACTAGACTTATGGACTTGATCTGGACTGGGCTGGGTTGTTTTCTTAATATACAATTACTTTTTGATATAAAGCTCTTTCTTTTACATATAGGAGTGTCTTTGAATTTGTTTCTCTAGTCAACCCAGATTAATACACTGACCCAACATCTAATAAATGGCATATGTGCCCAGTTGGGCTTTAGAATTTGGGTGGATCCACGACCACTATGTGTCTCCCATCATTCTCTTGTTGGAATAGTATCGATAACAGTTGTATTTTGAATATGTGGAGAGAAGGTAACTTGGCTTTTTCTTTTTTAGGTCTTCGATGAAGATGAATGGCATTCAAGGAGCGATGTTTATATAGAAAAAGCTTCATCTGTGCTTGATCTGATTAAGTTGATGGAATTCTGAACTCTGTCTATTCAGCCTAATTAATGTTTGTTAAGCCCTTGGGTTAAACAAAGTTAACTAAAACCAAGAATCAACATGCTAAAATAGAGAATGAAAGATGGAATGCCACTTCCAATTTTACAAAAGAAACTGAATGTAACAAATTAATTTCCACGAAATGGGAAAATTCCTACAGACAAGTGTCCTGCTGATGCTGACTTAGGAGAAATAAAACATTTGGATACATCTAGAAGAGTAAGGAGATTAGATTTTTAATTCTTAAAATTCTCACCTCACAAAGCTCAAGTCCAGATAGCTTCACTGATGTTCTACCAAATATTGGAAGAATTAACAAAATGCTCCACAAATTCTTCCAAAAATTACAATGGTACAGAACTCTTCCAAATTCATCTTGTGTCAGTATAACCCTGATGCCAAACCCAAAGACTACACAGGGAAAGAAAACCACAAACCAATAATGCTTGTAAGTATAGATGCAAACCCTGCAACCTAGTGCAAGCAAGTCAAATCCAGCAACACATAAACGGGATAGTCATTTGAGATTTATCATAAGAATGTAACATTATTTTAACATTTGAAAACCAATGTATTACACTGATTTAGTAGGAGATAAAAAACTAAAACCATAATAATTCTATTTGACACCAAAAAATCATTTGAGAAAACCCTTTCGTGACCAAACCTCTCAGCTAGGAATACAAAGGAATATCCTCATTTGAAAAAGTGCTTCAATATGCAAAACAATGATGCAATTCAGCCGGTCACACCAGTTCAGCACAACTGATACCTGATTTTGGTTGAGTTCTGCAAAGCGCTTGTTCAAATGGCACTTGTACTCGGTGTTCTTTCTAAGGCGGGCAGCTAGGCAGCTGCCCAATGTGGAAATCACAAATTTACATTCCTTGCTCTTTTTTCACGTGCATCTGTGCAACAGTGTATTCTAAGCACCCGTAATAATGTTCATTCCATCCAGAGGTTTAAAAAATTAGATGGGTCTCTGCTTGTAATATCGATTTACTCATTTAATAAAACTCGTTATACTTTTGACGAAATAGTACATTTGTATTCCCTTGTGTTTGTTACTTCAGTAAACAAACATAAAATGTCAAGAATAAAAATACCAGCCAGTCGTTGATTTGCTGTCATCTGTTTCAGCTTTGTGCTATGCCCCAAATTCCCATGAGATTTTATGAGTGAATTCTGAAATTCCTGAAAGTGTTCAAAGAGCTAAAAATATTGTCAGAACAATTGCTGTAAGTTCAGCAGAAATGGAAAAGGGTTTTTCAAAGATAAATATAATATGTTCAGAGAAGAGAAGTCACCTGTTTGTCTTTTTGTTTGTCTAAAGGAATGGGGTCCTACTCCTATGGTGCAAAGATGTTTACAGATAAATAATACAGTTGATGCTGTTTGGATAAAAGCAAAGACTATTGCAAGTGAGGATGCCAATCAAGAAACAATATAGAAATACCTTAAATATAGTTTTATTATTTTTGCCAGATAGTATTTGATAATCTTCTATTAATATTTTTAAACTTTTATAATCTAGTTTTGTGTTCCAGTTTTATTGTTCTTATTTAAGTATTAATTGTTTGAAATAATAAACTACCTTTTGGTATATCTTTTTTTATACTTAAAATGGTCATTAGGGCAGTGGATCAGTTATTAAATTATTTGAATCCTACCACTGGTAGGTACAAAACTTAATTGCATTTCTCTACACTAGCAATAACCTAAAAATGAAATTAAGAAAGCAATTGATTTATAATAACTTCACAAATACTAAAATACTTCAGAATAAATTTAACAAAGTACAAAGCACACTCTAAAAACAACAAAACAAAATAGAAAGAAATTAAAGAGGCTCTAAATTGTGGAAAGACTCATGAAATGGAAGAACCAATATTGTTAGGCTGGTAATACACTTAAAGTTGACCTACAGCTTCACTATAAAACCTGTCAAAAACCAGCCTGTGCGATCACGAGGGGTCGAAGGAATCAGGTATCAGGCATCATCGGGACAAAAAATCTTACCATAGTGAATGAGGCGGGGAGTGTAGCGTGGAGAACCAAAGCCCATTTGTAGGCCACTGAACATCCCCTTATAGAAGGGTCTCGGGGAGGAGATGAGCCAGTCAGGATGCCATGTAGCAGCAATGAAAAATACAACTTTCCTCTAGTTCCTAAATGCTTCCTCCTCCCCCGCCACCACCCCCCACCCCCTACCAACTATCACGATCTGAATTCTACCTTGCAAATCTGGCTAGACCAGAGGATGTACACTGGTACAGACAGGAACTGGAAACACAGGGAATCCAGGGCGGATGATCCCTACAGGACCAGCGGTATGAGTGGCGATACTGGGAGGGTAGAGGGAGAGTGGGTAGGAAAGAGGGAACCGATTACAAGGAACTATATGTGACCTCCTCCCTGGGGGACGGACAACAGAAAAGTGGGTGAAGGGAGACGTCGGACAGGGCAAGATATGACCAAATAATAATTTATAAATTATAAAGGGTTCATGAAGGAGGGGGGAGCGGGGAGGGAGGGGAAAAAAATGAGGAGCTGATGCCAGGGGCTTAAGTGGAGAGGAAATGTTTTGAGAATGATGAGGGCAATGAATGTACAAATGTGCTTTACACATTGATGTATGTATGGATTGTGATAAGAGTTGTATGAGCCCCTAATAAAATGACTAAAATAAAATAAATAATTTTAAAAAACCTATCAAAACCAAAGCTGCCTTTGTTTTGTTTTTCAGAAATGTACAAAGCTGAACCTAAAATTCCTATTGCATTAAAAGGGTACCAGAATAATAAAACAATTGGCAAAAAAGTTTTTACCATGAATTAGGTAAAGGATTACAAAGCAGATCATAGTTTTACATCCAACAATTCATACACATTCTGATTCAACTCATCTATTGCAACCTTTTCAAGCACCGTCCTTTATCTGACGTCTTCCCTGTATGTCCTGTCCTCACTGTTACTTCTTTCCTAACCCTCTGTCCTTGAGTATAGGAAGCCCCTTTGATCTTAAGTGGTTGGTTCTTCTAATAGAGAACTGAGGTTAGGACTAGACCTGAGGAGTAAGGTCAGAGTCTTGGGGATCCCGTCTGTCTCTGTCCAACCAGTAAGCCAGGCATCTTTTTCGGTTTTGAACTCTGTTCCACATTTGCCTCCTCAATCTAGGACCTTCTTAATGTAATCCTTTACAGAGAAATTAGCTAGGCTCGTGCAGTGTCAGGGCTGTGGAAACTGATGCTTGTGTGTGGCCCAATAGTCCATTGGATGGATTGTTTCTACGTGTCTTTTGCTTTTTTGTCACACTTCTTTCCACTGGTTGGGGGAGACCAATACTTGCACCTTAGATGGCCACTCATGAGCCTTTAAGACCCCAGGTGTTACTCACCAAATTAGGATATCCAACACTGTCTTGGTGAACTAGCTTATGGTGATTGACCTTTGTGTTCCCTGAGACTCTAGTCCTGATCCCCATGCGCAGAACACCTTCCCTCAAGGTGTCGGATTATATCTAAGGATTTTTCAAAACTTTGTACCCTGGATGCTCCTCCAAATTCATGAATATATTTGCAACAAGAGGAAATATATGCATACACATATCTGTGGTGAAAACTATGCATACATATTCATATATATACATATATATTATCCTTTGTGAAAAAAATATATACTCTGTTTCCCTGAAAAGAAGACAGTGTCTTATATTAATTTTTGCTCCCAAAGATGCAGGTCTTATTTTTCCATGAAGAAGAATATGGTACACATTTATTGTTTATTGTTTTATTAAAAGAGACCTCGCACTTACTGTCTGATCCGGCTGCGCTCCTGTCAACAGTGGGCTGCGCAGTGGCTCCTGCTGCTATGGTCCAGAGCCCAGAGTTACGGTAGCTTCTGGGGGCCTTATTTTCGGGGCAGTCTTATTTTGGGGGGGATGCCTTATATTTCAGCAAGAGGCAAAACTGTAAGTAGGTCTTATTTTCGGGGGATGTCTTACTTTCGGGGAAACAGGGTATACGTTGGTATACTCTTCCTTTCCAACCTATGCAACATATGTATCTATCCAAGCCTCTACTCGTAGATCCCAATGGTTGCAGGATTTTGTATATTGCAGTATTTGCCTCATTTTAACAGAACAAGGAAATTCTGAGTTGCTTAAAATCAGGAAAGGTATACCTCAGAGTTGCATCTTTTCATCATACTTACTCATTCTGTATGCCTTGCAAATGATCCAAGAAGCTAGATTAATGGAAAAGAACTCGGGATCAAGGTGGGGGGCAGGCTTATTAACAACCTGCAATACACAGATGACACAACCTTGCTTGCTGAAAGTGAGGAGCACTTGCTGATGAAAATCAAAGACTGCAGCCTTCAGAATGGATTGCAACTCAATATAAACAAACAAACAGAACAACCCAAATCCTCACAACTGGACAGATATATGACTTCATGAAAAGGGGAGAAAAGATTGAAGCTGTGGAGCGTTTCTTTTTCTTTGGATTCATAATTAATGCTCATGGAAGTAGCAGTTAAGAAATCAAATGACATATTGCATTAGGCAAATCTGCTGCCCAAGACCTCTTCAAAGTGTTGAAGAGCAAGGATACTGCTTTGAGGTCTAAAGCATACCTTCTGCTTCGTTCTTCTTTCATTGTGCTTTTCTTAGCTAGCGTCTCTTTCCTTTCCATAGAGAGTGAGCAGTTAGTTTTCCATCTCTTTGAAGCGTCATGTTGGAATTGGAATTTGGCTTTCATTAGGATTGTAGATTGTTAGGGTGAAATGAAATTAATTACCTATAGTTCCTCTATTTCTCTCTAATTTCCACCAAATGATTGGGTGGGACCACATTAATAAAGTATAGACCAACAGGGTATGGTCAGTTTTTTCCATTTATCTGGCTACAAGACAGCCATCTCGGGATTCTAGGACTGTCAAGATAGAACAGCAGTCAGCAACAGAACATGGTCTAGATCCCTGTCTGAAGTGGCAGAGGTGGCAGAAGCCACAGCACAGAAACCATGAGACAGAGCAAAGGAGTCACACTGAGAGAGCAAAGAACTGGTGAGACTATGAGGCAATGAGGCACAGAGGCAGAGGGCTCCCTGACCAATGGAGGCAGCGGCCACAAGATCACATGATGGAGAGGCCAAGGTCCAGAGGGACATGCCTGCAAGCAGGACTGAAAAGAGTCACTGTGGACTAAAGGACAGGATCCTTACCACTTTGTAGCCTGGTCATTTCCTTAATACACCCACCTACTCGTGAGTATTTTTTTGTGGGGCCATTGCAAAAAACTTTCACATCCAGCAGGGAAAGAAGAGTGCTGTGGGGTGGGGTGAGAAGAGCTGGTGTCAGATTAGACATGAGAAGGATAGAGGTGGAGGTACGTTTGACCTCTGCCACGTGGCAAACACTCATGGGCTAGTGTGGTATTGGATTCTCCCCCTTCCTTGTGAAGGCAGAGATCAGATTCGACCACCGCCATGCCATTTCCTCAATCACTTTAAGTACAATTGATGTTTTCACAATCTTAAACCTTCCTGTCTATTAGCATTGTACTTTCTTCTCTCTAGGTCCTTTTTTGGTTTCTTATAACAATATTTTCTGATCTTCTTTGTACAGATCTTTTGCTTCTCTAATTAGATTTGTTTCTAAGTATTTCATCTTTTGAGTGACTATTGTAAATGGTAATGCTATTGCGTAATGCTGTTGTAAATGGCAATGCTATTGCGTAATGCTGTTGTAAGTGTTAATATTTTCCGGATTTGCTTTTCAGAGTCTGTTTGTTAGCATGAAGGAAGCCAACATTTTTTTCTGTGTTGTCCTTTGACCCTGCCACTTCGTGGGATCTTTCAGTTATTTCTGCCAAGTCTTTGTAATCTCCTATATATAGGATCATGCCATCTGTGAATTAAGAGTTTCACTTCTTATTTGCTAATTTGGGTACCTTTATTTTCGCTTTCTTGTCAAGTCGAACGTGCTCAGACTCCAGGCACCACATTGGTGCTAGGAGTGTGATAAAGGGCATCCTTGTCTGCTTCCTGCTTGCAAGGGTGATGCTTTCAGATCCTCTCCTTTGAGATTCATGTTGGCAACTGGTTTAGTATCCATGCCC